ACTGGTTTAAGTTTATAAAGCACTTAGCGCCATTTGAAATAACAGTTACTTTGATTAAAGTGAGAAAGCTGGACAACTATATACTTTTCAAATATGTAGACTACAACAAGGAAAGAATCCTTGATCCACGCATTCTAGACTACGCACTTGAGCATGTTGCTAAGTTAGAAATAGCAGTATTATTCAAAGAACTTCCTTTCCACTTTCAATAAACCCATTCTTGGTACTCTCAAACACTGTGGCAAACTCTTGTCTAGTGTGTTTTGCATTCTCACATGCTTATCATTTCCAAGAGGCTCGTGATTACTACATCAACAACAAACAGAATCTAAACACTTGCACAAACTACCCCTGCCCAAATCACTATTATAAACATCCCACTGTGCCTATCGCTGTCGAAGTCCTGTCTTGGCTGTTTATAAACAGAAAACAGGAATGAGAAATCTGCGAGCAATACAATCTGGATGAACACATCACTGACAATACAGATCTTACCCTCGACGACCTTTACACCAACCGCGCATTATCTAGCAATATAGATTGACCTGTTACTGGGCCCTCTGGCCAAAATACTCTGGCCAACTCCTTGGCTAATTCTACAGCCACACTGGTCAACCCATCAGCACAGGCCATCATGCAAGATATGATGAACCTCATAGCCACATTAATTCAGAACATCAACAATCTCACAATGAACATGAACCAGTTTATTGCAAACACACATTAGTTTCTGCTTCTCAATATCAATCCATTGTTTAAAACCTGCGACATTTGATGGTAAATCTTTGGAGAAAGCTAGACTCTTCTGTAGTGCCTTCTGTGTCTACGTCAGGGTGAACAAGGAAATATTTGCACAACGCAATGCTAACGACGTCATCTGCTATGATGCAAATGTTAACTGGCTAGTGGATGCAAACAAAATAGTTAGCACCATCCTCTCGTTTATGACGGAAGACATGGCGGTTTGGGCCCATCCACATGTTGAAGAACTCGCTGAAGGGTACACTCCATTCAACGCCTCCTGGACAGAATTTGTCAAGTAATTCTCTGCTAAATTTGAGCCTATAGACGCTAAAAATGAGTCCAAACAAAAGCTCATGTAAATCATGCAGAAGGTGATAGCTCAGGTTTAAAGCTTGATATAGTAGCAAATACTACAAAATGCATTGCATGACATACTAGTAACTGGTCTAGCAATTGTATGAAGTAATTCTAGGCCTATAATAACTGTCTGGCACCTCTTGGCATGCTCAGAACCTCGATATAACATACAATATCTTATTAAATATATGCCAGATTGAAAAAACATTACATAACATAACATGTTTGGACACTTATTTTCATTTTTTTGTCAATCAATGAAGAACATATGTAAAAACATATTTGCTATACCAAACATATATCAGAAATCAATATTTAGCCTGTTATTTGCAAAATACTCGCTAAAAGTCAGTTCTTTTTGGATACATATAGTAGCGCTTTTGGATTTGAATTAAGCGCCCACCGCGAGAATCTAGCTTTGCAAATCATTCCACATGCTCTCCTGGCTTTTCTTTCTGCAGAACCTTCAGAGCAAGTACTAGTATAGGTATTGGTACACTATGAGTGTGTGTATATAGATCTGTAGGGTCTTTGATGGCCTCCACAGCATTCTGTGCATCAAATAGTGTTCAAACTTCAAATAAGCACCAGAAACAAGTCTCTCCACACCTTTTACAGTGCTTGAAAGATATGGGGATAGTTCTGGGTACATACATATACCTTATATTAGTATGGGGAAGCAATTTGCAGGGTGGTAAGTCATGTAGTAATGCATACAGAGACTAAAAACCCTCAAAATGTGAAGGCATTAGAACTTGTACACTATCCTATACCTTCTACACACTTTCTGAATTCCTATAAATATTATACAGACTGACTGTATGTTGGAAAAGAATATTGGAAAGTTTAAAAGACTTCTGTACAATGAAAAGGAACTGAAATGCACCTCCAAATGTCAATAACATCGAAATCTGGCCTCAGAACAGCACAAATGCAAGCACACCAGGGCTTACAGTGCAATACACATCAGTCATAGCTGGTAACATGCTATTTGAACATATCATAACCCTTCCAGATGGTATTACACTTCATGCCTATGTTATGAAAGCCAGGCACACACCTGTGCAAGTTTGATGCTTTTAAAGTGCTCAGAACCTTATCAACAGGCCATTCCCAGGTTAATCAATGCACCACACCCTCAATACATGTTCTATAAACCTACAAATTGGTACTCTACTGTGTTTATATGCTAGAAATCGACTGGAGATGGTCCACTTGTTCAATTCTGAGTGGTTGAGCCTGTATGAGACATTTTATGGTCAAAACAGCAAAAAAGCACCTGTTTCCCATGGTCAAATCTGCTAGATCGGATGGGTTGTAAGGCATAATATAGACAGCTAAGTATATGGATTTGTATTTTTTTTTTTTTTTTTTTTTTGGAAGAGCTATTTGGCGGGCAGCAACCAAGTTATTCTCAGGCCCTGCGTCGCCAGCATGATGTTTGGGTGTCTTCACCCAGTGTCTGCTGCAGGAAACTGCACTTATGCACGTAGTGTGGGACTCAGGACCTAGTGGCCATATACATGCTCAAGGGTCTCTGACCTGACTGCCTACTCTCACACGGAGAGGAGGACAGTCAGGTGGCCTGTTACCCACTAAAACCCCACTGTCCATGAGACATTTATTGGCTCAGTTGGCGTGTCCTCGTGTGATGCGCTCCTAAGTGTTGATGGCAGCTGTGTTGTCAAGGGTTTTTTTACCGAAGCAGTCGTTAGTCATTGCCCAATCCATATTGTGGCGTCGTTGGAGCATGGAGCTCCAGCGTTTGCGGAGCTCATTTTCAGTGAAGGCTTTCTGGTCATTGTGTTCGATGCGTCATTTGCAGCACAGCTTCCAAATTAGGTAGGCCGTCTCAGAGAGGAGGATGCAATAGAGGCGTGATGCTCCAGAGTCTGGTTTATTGTTAGCTGAGGGTAGTACAGTAGCGCCGCATCCTAAGATAAGATGAGTGGTTACAGCGTACCAATCGGGGTAGGCAGAGAGCCAGAGGTTGCGTGTCAGGCTCCAGACAAAGGCTTGGCCTGGGGCATCACACTTAGTTAGGATGTGGTCAAAATCTTCAGTTTGGCGGCATATGGAACAGGTGGCGCGGTTGTTGTGTCATGGAATATTAAGCCAGAATGATTCAATGCGGAGGGAGTTGTGGAGGCCCCAGTAGAGGAAGTCGCGTGCTTTGCAGTCAATGTCGCGGTGACGCGGGCAGAGTCCTGTCCAGATAGAGGCCATAGTTGAAAGGGTTCCGGTACGGTCCTCAACCACTAGCTGGATATCAGAGAGTTGTGCTAGGGTGGCTGGGCAAGGTTTGTGGCCGTAGAGTTCTTAGAGGCCATGGTAGGCAAGGGACTGAGTGAGAAAGCGCAGTTTTGCGCCTGAGATGTCAAAGACTGGATCTATCGTCAGGAGTGTGCTGTCAGCGTCGTCACAGAGTGTGCCGTGTAATGCTTCTGCATCTGCGCCTTTGTTTCTGGCATTGCTGGCGTAACCTTTGACCCAGGCAAAGATAGTGGGGGCAGATCATGTTTGGAGGCAGTAAAGTGTGGGGCGGATGAGGTGGGCACTGGCCACTCCTATTCATCCTATGTCTTCCCAGTAGCGGCTGTATTTCGTGAGGGCGTTGATGGTGTGCTTGGAGTCGAACACAATGTGCAGTGGTGTGGTTGCATTGATGAGAGAGCATGCAACTAGTACTGCGAAGAGTTCACCTGCTTGATTCAATTGGATAGAGCCTGGAACG